AGTCGACGACACAAGATCATCTCACATTCGCTTCGTCGCATCATCTTTGCCAGTAGACGCACTTACACGAGCTCGTTGTGATGTTAGTTGGCTCTGACGTTGCGGTTAAAGGTGTAGGTATGAGGAAGTCTTTCAGTGACTTTTTTATTTTCGCCAGGAAACCACTACTTACTGGTAATGATTGTTGCATTATTGCATCGTGTATTAAGGGCTCTGGTGGTGACGCTTGCTGGGGTTTTTCGGAATTTGACAGCTGGGCTCTCTAATGTCAGTGACGCAGCGGGGAAACTAGAAATAAAAAGACGGTTTGTGTGAGTTTGATTAAGAAAACTTTTGTTAAATTGTTTTTTTTGGTGAAAGTTTCGTTACTTGCATCAAAAGTAGTTTTAAGGAAAGTTCCGGGAGTTTCATTAAACTGTGTCTTGCAAAAGGGCTTTGAGCTAGAGCCTTTGACGGTACAAGAAATTCATTAAAATTTTAATGAACTTCATTTTAATGAAAGGGCTTTTAATGAAAAACTTTTCAATGAAACTTCGATATCCGTAAATGACGTTAGAGTCGCTGCCTTTGCTGGACGAGCTGCGTCTGACTGCTTGACCGATTGAAGTCATATCAGTTTCTGATCGCCTTCCTTTAGTTCCGCCATCTACAACTCCAGAAACAGGTAAGAACCGCGCTCGGATGATATTCCATTCGCCATGTTTATTGCTTAAGAGGTCTGAATATTGAAATGTCTTTTGTGGTTTTTGTTTAGTTTGGCCAGCGACGCCACCAGGCACACGTGAGAACTCGGTTACTGTTGAAGCGTTGCTTAAGGATTCGCGACGCGTTTGACGCGCTGTGTTTGCTTTGTCGTACGGTTAACTCATGTCTGTCTCTGATCATGTTTGTCTAGATGTGCCACCAGCAACGTCGGACACGGGTAAGGACTGGGTGCTAATGTATCTCGATTCATTATGCAGCATAGCATAATGCCCCTTATTTTTCGTGCTGTTCATCTGTAATAGTTTATATTATTGTCATTTTCGATCGATATAATGGCCTAGGCCGCATCTCTGGAAAATGACTATTCTTATTTCTCTTTCTTGAATGAATAAAGTTTAAACTAAACTAATACTAAGAACATATATCTGGGAAGCGTTAGATGTGATGTTCTTCTTCGGTGATACCCTTCCGGCCGTATCTGCCTCTGATTGTCTTTGTTTACTCCCACCTTCAAGAATGCTCTGTTCGGTCTGTGGTTCGCTCGCACTCATGTCTGCCTCCGATCGTCTTTATGTGGTGGCGCCAGGTACGACAAACACAGGTAAGCCCTCGGGGCTGATAAAATAATCGACCTGATTGGATGAAGTTTGACTAAGCTTTATTTGTGTTATCGCAACGCTCAAATTATAGGAAAAAAAGTCTTCGTTTGCGACGAAACATTTTCCTGAGGTTGCACAAAAGGAACCATGTAAACCTTCTGTTAGACTGACCACCAAAAGTGACTCATAAAACTGTTAGCAACGCTCAGCCACACATCCTGCGTGAGGGCGGCAGACTGATCTTCCGAAGGACCGAGCAAGACGCGCTAAACCGGCTGACTTTCACGACCGCTCAAACTGATGTCTGTCTCGGATCGCCTTTCCTTAGCTCCACGAACAACGACGTCAGACACAGGTAAGAATCGCGCACGAATGAAACTCGATTCGTCGCGTTCATTGCATAAGAGATCTAGATATGGAGACCTCTCTTATCGTCTTTGTTTAGTTTCGCCAGAAACACCACTAGCCACAGGTAAGAATTCCATTACGGTTGCCTCATTGCTTTTTTATAGACTTGATGTTCAGAGGAACCGAGCACGGCGCGTTAGACGAGCTGGCTCTGCCTGCTCGACCGAACAAACTGATGTCTCTAGCGGATCGCCTTCCTTTAGATCCACCATCTACAACGCCAGAAACAGGTAAGAACCACGCCCGATTGAAACTCGATTCGTCGTGTTCATTCCAAAAGAGGTCTGGATATGGAGATGTCTCTTATCGTCTTTGTTTAGTTACGCCAGAAACAGCACCAGCCACAGGTAAGAATTCCATTACTGTTGCATCATTGCTTTTTTATAGACTTGATGTTCGGAGGAACCGAGCACGACGCGTTAGACCAGCTGTCTTTGCCTGCTCTACCGATGAAAGTCAGAGAATGACTTCGGTATATTAGTGAAATATGTTCACACATTTGAGGATGGTTTAAACAATTATTCTAAATAGATGCGACAGGTATGTAGAACTCTGACAGTGACAGAGTAATGTTCAGAAGGGACGATCGCGACGCGTTAGACGAGCTATCTCTGCCTCCTCGACCAAGCAAACACATGTCTGTATCGGATCGCCTTCCTTTAGGTCCACCATCTACAACGCCAGAAACAGGTAAGAATCACGCCCGAATGAAAGTCCATTCGTCAAACTCATTTCTGTAGTGGAGCGCCTTCCTTTAGTTCCACTAGGTGCAACGCTACAAACAAGTAAGAACCGCGCCGAAAACACTCGATTCATCGTGTGCATTCCATAAGAGGTCTGGATGAGACGATATCTCTTATTGTTTTTGGTTCGGTCGGCGGAAAGACTTCAATTACTATTGTATCGTTGCTTAAGAGCTCTGCTAGTGAAATTGCCTAACACTTTTATATACACTGCGTCACGTTCGTTATTCATCTGTCTGTTTCTAACCCAGATAGAGAGAGAGGCGATGGAGATGAAATATGTTCACACATCTGCTGATGATTTAAATAAGTATTCTTAATAGATGTGACACTTATGTAGAACGCTGACCGTGGCGGAGAGATGTTCAATGGGTACGAGCGGGACGCGTTATGCGAGCTGTCTCTGTCTCTTTGATCGAGCAAACTGATGTGCCTGTATCGGATAGCCTTCGTTTAGGTCCACCACCTACAACTCCAGAAACAGGTAAGAACCGCGCACCAACGATACTGGATTCGTCGTGTTCATTGCATAAGAGGTCTGAAGGTGGACATGTCTCTTATCGTCTTTGTTTAGTATCGCCGGGAACACCGCGGGACACAGGTACGTATGTCTCAGTTAGTATGTCTGCATTTAAAACTGGTGTAGTTAAGGACTGTTATAGTTAAGAATTTCTGAAAGCGAAAACAATTCGAACATTTGGAGTGCGTATAAGCGTCGGGAGATGTCGGTTACCGCGGAGCATTGTGATTTTCATGTTTCAAAAATATTGAAGAGATTGAAATGGTGGTTTCAAATCTTTCCCATCGCTCAGATATGAAGTATACAGTGTAGCACTGCATATAGAGAAAAACGGTAAGAGAAAATTAACATTACTGCGGAGAATAGTTATAAAAATGCTGAATCCGTCTTACTGTAGATATTGTCGTATACACTGCATTGCTTGAGTTAGTGAACGAAAGAAAATCTCTGATCGTTGTAACAAGAGGGCTCCGATGTAAATTTTCTCTTACTGTTTTTTTATCTGTGATAGACAGTATAGATCATATCTGAACGATGGGAAAGATTTGAAAAGTATTTCAATCTCTTCAATATTCTTGAAACATGAAAATCCCATAAACTCGCGGTACACGATTTCTCCCGAAGCTTATAAGCCTCCAAATGTTCGAATTTTCTTTGCTTTTTTCAAGAATTTTTAACTATAACAGTCCTTAACTGTGGGGTTTTAACTCAGACCGTTTTTTACTGTAACAGTTTTAACTGAGCCAGTTTCAACTGAGACAGTTACTAACTGTACCAGTTTTACAGTTACAGTTAACTGCGTTTTAACTGAAACTGATGCATACCGAGACACAGGTCAGAATTCTATCACTATTGCATCATTGCTTAAGAGCTCTGCTAGTAAAACTACCTAACACTTTTATATAGACTTTGTTACGTTCTTTATTCACATCCCCGTTTCTAATACAGATAGGGAGAGTGGAAAATAAACTGGGTAAATTAGTGAAATATGTTCACACATTTGAGGATGAGTTAAACAATTGTTCTAAGTAGATGAGGCACCTATGTAGAACTCTAACGGTGGCAGAGTGATGTTCATCGCGACGCGTTAGGCGAGCTATCTCTGCCTGCTCGACCGATCAAACTGATGTCTCTAGCGGATCGCCTTCCTTTAGATCCACCATCTACGACGCCAGAAACAGGTAAGAACCACGCCCGATTGAAACTCGATTCGTCGTGTTCATTGCATAAGAGATCTAGATATGGAGACCTCTCTTATCGTCTTTGTTTAGTTTCGCCAGAAACACCACTAGCCACAGGTAAGAATTCCATTACTGTTGCATCATTGCTTAAGGGTTCTGCATATGACATGTGCCAGGGTGGAAGATATGCGTACTCACTTAAATGGGCGACTAACAGGAAAGAGCAGAAAAGACATTTAAACATTATCTTGAAATTGAACAGTAGGTTAATCTGACAACACGCCCTGCGGCCTTCAGCCACGCATTCACGTCATGGAGAAGTAACGAGCACGAGATGTTAGACGGTCGAACCGTAAAACTGGCTAGGGCTTTAAAATATACTTTGTTAGGTCGTTTATTCATTTCGCTGTTTCCAATCCCCATAGTAAGAGAGGCACTATATATGAAAATATATTAACGCATTTGAGGATGATTTGAGCAATTATTCTAAATAGACACAGGTTAGAACTCAATTACTGTTGGATCATTGCTTAAGAGCTTTGCTAGTGACGCTGGCTAACATTTTTGGAAATTTGACACCACGACTACACTCTAAAAAAAAAGCGTCGTTTACTAAACCCAAAAGGGATTTAGCAAAATGCAATGACACGCTACCGCTTCAAAAGTTTAGTAAAAAACCCTTTTAGGGTTTAGTACGCTTACTAAACCTGAAAGCGGTAGCGTGTCATTG